TCAGTAAAAGTGATTCAGGGGGGAGAGGTGTAAATTAGTGATGCGGTGTGACAGAGATTTTCCGTCACAGCTTTGACAGTGACAGCTCCGGGAAAATCACTGAGACAAATCACAATGATTTTTTTTTACGGTGATAAGTATAGAATGGCTCCTTGGCGAAAGTGTCACTGTGAAATCACAGTTTATGTGTTTAAACTTATATTAAAATAAAAATAGATTTTTTTCAGTGATAAATTTTATATTTGATGGGGGAAAATATCTCTGCGATCCCTTGGTTTCTATATACCTGCAGAAAATATTTGAATTTATTTAATTTTTAATTCATTTTTTATTTATATTTCAACAGTTAAATGAAAAACATTCTGTTAATTAGTTCAGACATAACTCATTCAGAATTAAATGCCAATGAATGTTCAATCCACCCAAAAGTTCATAAAGTATTTTTAATCAAATTTAATGAATAACCATTATTTTAGAATTAATTATTTTATGATTATTCATTAAATAAATGATGTCAACAATGCCCAGATCGCTGGAGCGATAGGAGTGATAGAGCGGAGTGACAGAGCTGTGATTTCACAGCGCCTACAGTAACTGTCACTGTTGTAGCATAGTGATTTCACACTGCCAACCGTAACCATCACTGTTGGAGCACAATGATTTCACAGAACCTACAGTGACTATCACTGTGATCACTAGCTCCGGCCCAATCACTGTGACAGAATCACAGCTCCGCTGGTATTGGACAGAAGGTTAGAGTGTTGGTTACAAGTTGTTGTGTTTGTTAACCCATAAATAATAACGTGTAATTTTATTAATTCTTACAGATTAATAAAATCAGTTGTTATTAAACCAAGTTAAACATATATAGGTAAGTGAAAGTAAAAATATAGAATAGACGATCAAAATCAAAAGACAGACAGAAAGAATCACATAGCAACCATTATAAGAAAGAAGAAAGAAAGAAAGAAAAGTAAATTTTATTCTGGGACAATCAGTCCACTAAGAATAATTACAATGAATGATTTGATGACATAAAAAAAAGAAAAAAAAATTGTTGATGTAAATGGAGAAAAGAGTTGGAAAGAGTGAGGATCCCTGAGAAACATCATGAATAAGTGTGAGGGAGGAGGAAGGAATTTTATTGGAAATGATAACTGCTTGGGATCTGTGATACAAGAAGGAGTGGTACCACTTCAGGACACTATTTGATATGAAAAGGTTTCAGAGTTTGGAAAGGAGGATTTTATGATTAACGTAATCGAAGGCTTTTGAAAACTCAAAAAGGACCAGAATAGAAATTTTCTGTTTGTCTATAGAGAATTAAAAGTCTTGGGTGATTTTCAACAGAGCAGATTGGGTGGAGAACTGGAATCAGAAACCAGATTGGAGGGGACTGAGGAGAGCATTTTGCTCAAGGAAGGTATTAAGCTGTTTATGGACTAACCTTTCAAGAGGTTTTGAAAGGTTAGAGAGAATGGAGATGGGTCTGAAATCGGAAACTTTGGAAGGAACCAGAACTTTGCTCAACGGGTGGACTATAACACTTTTCCAATCTGATGGGAAACTAGAATTTTGAAGGGAAAAATTGTAAATATGCAGTAGGTTTTGGACTTTACTACAAAGAGATTTTTGAGAATTTTGATTTGGACTTGTGATCTGGTACTTGTGACAGGGAAATATGGAAAAATTGTGCCTTAGCACGTCATAAGGAAGATTGGGTAAGTTTCCGCAGTGTCTTAAAAGAGATGTAACCTTCTGGATTACGTGTGAGTCTGAAGTGCCTTCTAGCAGCGCCTCTTCTCTTTATCAACTCTCTGATTTCAGGATCTAGGGGTGCATGTTTATTCAGGAATAGGAGTAGATTGAAGGAAAGACATTTCACCATTTTATCAATGGAGGAGTAGGAGTAGATGGATCTAAGGATTGGGTTAGTGGTTCGAGGAAAGGGTTTAGTTTTTCAGAGGTCAATGAGCCTAGATCCCGCCATGTGATTAACTTCAGAATGAACTTAGGAGTCGGGACTTTATAAGAAATCATGATAGAATCATGATATCAGAGAAGGAGACAGGATTCTGAGAGGAAGATAATAAATTTTGAGAGGAATGAATTATAAAAAGGTTGAACCATGTACTCAAGAACTGAGCAAGGGTTGAAAGAAAATGATAAAATAAATAGATCAAGGGAATGGATTAGGTCAACAAGGTATGATTTGTAGGGAGTCGGAGCAGAAGTTGGTGTTGAAGTCACCGGTTATTATAACATCATTGTATAAAAAAACAAAGGTAAAAAGGGATGATTCCAAGACAGGATCAAATCATACTTGAGAGTGATATGTAATGAAATAGAGGGGAAAAAAATCTGAGAATAATTCTACAAATAAATACTCTAAATGAGGAGAGTCGTGAGAGGGAAACTTGTGAAGGATTTTTGTGCTCAGACTTTCATGAACATAAAAACCAACACCACCACCTGTTCGGTCCGTTCGATCATGACGATTGAGGGTGTAGTTAGGGATAGACATAGAGGAAGAAGGAACATTTGGTTTTAGCCAGGTTTCCGAGAAGGCAATAATATGATAAAAATTATGGAGGAAATAATCAAGGAAATCATCAAAGTAAGCTGGAAGGGATTGGGAGTTAATGTGACAGGTTAATAGGATATTAGTCATATAACGAAGAGGAAGGATGTATTTCAGTGAAAGTTTGGAAAGGAAACGGACAATCATAATAATATGAATTAAAATTGCCTATGAAAAATGGAAAGTGATAAAAAAAGAAAAAAATAGGGTAAATAATTATCAATTTTAACAAAATAAGTAAAATTTTTAACTGAGAAAAATAAGTGGCTAAATAAAAATAATAAAAGATAATTAGAGAAAAAATGAATAAAACTCCAAATATTCAAATTATTAAAAAACATAAAATAATATCCCTTGAAAGAAAAATTAAATATAGAAACTGATATATGACAAAAAGTAAAAAAAATTCCAGGTAACTGTTAGCAAAGTCTAAAACAGTGCAGATGCAGTTGGGTTCGCATCATTGAAATGAATTAAGATTGCTGGCCTATGGCCTGGTTTATTATCATGACTGGCGCCTCATTTACTTTTCGACACCGGACACGCCCTCTGGAAAACCATACATATTTTATTTTTTCCGTAATCCTCCTCTGTCTTGCCAGCCAATAAAGATGGCAGTTCTGTAAGGTCATCTGCTCTGCTACATAGATTCTTTCATCCCTATCCCATCCGAGGTGCCTGGTGGAGAAGTCTCTTTTTATTCTTATAAGACGTAACACTTTGTCCCGGATCGTCTGGAAATGCACGATAATCGACGGTGGCAGGGTGTCTTCACCTTTAGGACACCTTCTTTCCACCAAATCCGGATCTTCAGAATTGAGCTTCCCACCCAGAGCCAGATGGATAAAACTATACCTTCGGGCGTTTCCCAGGTCTTATTATATTATAATATTACTTTATTATATCTTCTATTATTGTGGTTTGGTTATTTTATATCTATTTTCAATTATTCATTGATTTATTTTAATTATTTCTGTATTATATGACCTCTCATGTTATTTTTATATTTACATTCTACATCTATTATCTATAATTTCTCAATCTTATTTTGTATTTAAATATAATTTTCTAACAATATATATAACTAGTTCTGATTCTAACTATTTATATTAGTTTCAATGTTCATACTTTTAAATTAGTTCTACAGTGTATGGTCTTTCATTTTTATTTTGTATTCACATTGCACTTTTAATTATAATTTCTTAATTTTATCTTATATGTATATATTTATAGCTAATTAGTTCATAGATATTGTATTTTTTCTTGTATCCTTCAATATCTTCAAATTTTAGATGCTGTAATATCCCTAGTTTATGTTTTGTTTTACTACTTACTTGGAAATCACTATTTACCTTCACCATCCCCCAACCAGGTCAACTATTTTTCCCATGTGTCCTCCTCCCCCCTATGCTTCTCCAGTTTAACCAAAACTCCATACTGCATACACCCATAAGTCTCTATTTTTATTTTTTTTCCGTTTATTTCACACTCCCTTCATGTCCATTATTTCTTTTTTTTTTTTCTTATTTTTCCTTTTTCTTATAATCTTTCCTTGAAATCTGTAGGATTATATTCATAATTGTATATACTATCCATCATCTTTATTACTTTAAATTTTTCCCAATTTCCAAAATACTGCAACTATTTATTTACTTCTGTTTAGGGTCTTGTTACTTAGTTAAACTTTGTTTACTCTGTTAATATAGTTTATTGTATTTAATACTTCTAAGTACTTGCTATTCACACTGTTTATAATTTTAATAAGTTTATTCACATTGTTCATATTTTTTATCTAAACATTATGTAACTTCCACATTTTTCTATAGCCTTTTGTATCTTGTTAGTTCTAGCCCTGAAGAAGACCTGCCAAGTCGGGTTGAAACATTGGCTTTAAACAAAATAGTTTTTTCTCTATTTTAGTCTTTTTATGACTGCCATTCTGAACCATCTCCTTAATCAATAATAAACCATGGTCAACCATCAAGTATTCAACATCATAGATTTTATGACAATATTAGGAGCAATAAAAGGTGATAAAAACATTATTAAATTTAAAATTGTAATATATATATATATATATATATATATATATATATATATATATTTATAAACATTAACAGAAGTTATTATAAATTTTATTACTGTAAATATGAATATAATAATAATTATACTGACAATGGGACTGAGAATTCCTGACAATGGGACGGAGCTCTGAAACGTTGATTATGTTATCTTAAAACAAAAATTAAATAAACCCAACTAGGAAGAAAAGAAACATTCACAACCAAAAAAGCAACTATATTTTTCCTTCTTAATACAGAATAATTAATCAAAAAAGAAAAATGCTTAAGCAGACAACAAATGGATAGATAACTGTGACTAAAATAAAAAAATGAGAAATAAGGAAGGAGCTAAATACCTGTAAGCCACTGAAGGCGGGTACAAAGTACACACCATGGTTAGTTTTTGCAGAGTAAGCCATACCCTCACAGTCTTTAAAATCATCAAATAACCCTAAAAAACAAAAAATAAAAATTTCATTTTAATTATGAACTCAAACATCCATCAGTCAAAACTTATAAATCATAATAATAACTTTAAACACAATAAAGAGTCATATAGACATATGCATAAATAATAACTAATTACTAAGAAAATGCAAGTAATAAATTTGAGAACAGTGTAGAAATTAATTTATGATTTTGATGTGTATCCTTCTTTTTTTCGTATATATTTAAATTTATGGGAACAAGAATCTCAGTGAGTATGGCTCTGTGCTCAAGATCCCAAGTTCGAGTCCGGCTATGGCTGGTAACTATTTATTCAGTTTCATCAGTCATGGACCAACCCAGGAGTAGGAAGACCCTCCTGGGGCAAACCCAGCCATAACAGACTATAAAATCTGTATAATAGAAGAAGTTTATAACTGAAAAATGACCAATTATAGTTTCACCAATTAAATTATAATGTACTAACGGTGTAACTTGTTTTTTTTAATTGGGATTGTTTTCAGAAACTTTCAAAAAGTATGTGTCCAATGAAGCAATCGTTTCTCTAAAATTTAAACTTCTTGTAATTAGAAAAAATAAATTATTGTTATTTTTAATGCCTCACAATTTCTTTTATGTTTCAAAACTTTTTTAGGCACATCAGTATATTTTAATACATTCCTAATCTCATTAGCATATTTAATATAGATGGGAAATTTGATTCTTTTAACTGAACCGATTCAGGCAATTAAATAATTGTGGTGAATCAATTCCTATAAACGATTCCTTAATTGATTCCTTTTCTTTTTATTCTTTGTATTTCTAGCTAAAAATAAATAAATAAAAAACATTCTGAAACTTTCAGGTTATTCAGGCAAAAACAATTTTTTTTTAACTGATTCAAAACAAAATTCCTGATTCACATGAGTACAAATAAATGGTTATGAATATTAAAAGAGGAAGGAAACATAAATTGGATAAGAAAAACTTTTCAATTTCATATATTAGATTTTGGGCTGTGTATATAAATTGTAAATGAAAGGAAAAATAATTATATTATCTTGTGACAGATGTCCCTTCTTCTTCTTATTTGGAGATACAACCCACGTGGGGTCAAGGCTCCCAGTAACATTAGTTGCCAGTCATTTTTGTTTAGAGCAGCCGATTTCCAGTCTCAGATATGAAGGATGGATCGTGCATCAGCCACCACATCATCAGCCCAACGCAGTTTAGGTCTTCTAATGGGCCTTCTTCCGAACAGCTGTTCAGTGAGGAGCTTCTTTGGAATTTGGCTATCAGGCATCCTAGCAACATACATTGCCTGCCCAGCAGAGTTGACAAATCTTAATAAATTTAACCAAGTTACTATCCTGGAAAAGTTCCTGCAGTTCATCATTGGTACTCTGCCTCCATTCCTGGTTCACACAGACAGGACCAAATATTCTGTGAAGGATTCGGTGTTTGTACCATAGTAAGACCTGCTCAATGGTTTTCGATAGAGTCCAGCATTCTGAACCGTAGGTCTTATTAGTGATTTGTACAAGAGCAGTTTTGTTGTTCAGGAAAGGGATTTGCTTTTCATGTGTCCCTGAAGTTCGAAATAGCACCTATTGGATACCAATATAATTTAGCCTATCTCAGGTTGGAGTTTACCAAAGTACCCAGAAAAACAAATTCTTTTACCCATTGGAAGGTAAACTCTCCAATCCAAATGCTTGTGTCTGCCCTTGTTTCACCTCGCACACCCGCCTTCATAAACTTGGTCTTGGTTTGGTTTATAGTGAAGCCCTTAAGAACAAATTATAAATACAAAATAAATAAAATATGACAGTGTGGCCATACATAAAATTAAATATTTATAAAATAATAGGTAATTAAAAATAAAAGTTCAATAGAAAAAAAAATGTATTTATATATATATAAAACAAGAGAGAATAACAATAATATTGCACGGCTGCTCAAATGTCTTGAGTTACTAAACCACACAGCATACTCATCAATCAACAGATAACATTAAAAAAAAAATATTTAGTACAGTGCGCGCATCACAGATTTTTCACTTACCAATCTTTAGAGTAGATAGCTATTTTCTTATAGGAAGTCAAAGTGAAAATGACAGTATAAATTCATTTAAAACAATTAACATGTTTTTTCTACCCATCGAATCAGTTAAATTTATACATTGCTTGACTTTCCATTTTCCTTTTACAACTGTGTATAGTATCAAACAATGCTAATGATTGTGAGAAAAATAGATCTTCTGGAAAAATTCTGAGTTTCTTCGTAAACATTTATCACTAAACTCATCGAAAAAATAACTTAACCTTAGTAAATATTGTATATTATTAGGTTTATAATAGTAAATCCTCAACATTTCATGTGAAAACTTTTTTAAAAATTATGAATAAGTGATACATAAAAGTTGAACCAACAATATGAAATCACTGCACAGAGTGGTATCGGTGAAGGGAGAGGATTGGCAAAGGTCGGGCACTATCTCCAAAACAGTAGAGCTTCCGACATAACTTATACCGTAGAGCTTCTTACTCTTATTTCCCTCTTAGTTATAAATCAATTTTCTTCATTCACTATATTTAACCATTTTTATAGCAGGTTCAAATGTGAAATGGTTAATTATTTTAAATAAAAAAATCTGGTACTCACATCACATGACTTTCACTTACCACCCTTTTCTTAGCAGAAATAACTATTTTCAAAAAAAGGGAAAGTGAAAGTCAAAATTATAGACGCTATATTTATTTACATTTCATTGAGGGTATTTTTATTTAGCTGTATTCTATAAAATTATATATTAAATAATACCAACGATAGCATTTATGAAAACTGCATATGTATAAGTACATAATATTGTCAGAGTCCATATTATATTTAGCTCATGTTATGAATGGAAGCATGTTTAATCTTTTGGGCGAGCTGGAGCCCACTCGTATTCCTTTGATTCCTCTATTACAACTATTATCCGTTACGATCTCTTATTTCTTATTTATTTAGTTAATTATCAAATTCTTTCATATTTTATATTTAACTATTTTTTATATCAAAGATTAATGTGAAATGGTCAATTATTAAAAATAAAAAAAATTGAAGGTACTTTGGAGGAAGCTAATATTGAAAATTAGCCATTTAAGCCCTGTTAGAGAACATCAACGAGAATAAAACCTAAATTATATTAAAAATTACTTAATAATACACTGATATACTGAGTTTAATCAAAATAATTACAGCCGTTTTTGAGGAAATTGTAAAAATGTGTTAAATCGATTATATAAAGTACCACTACTGGTTTGCCTATTTTGACAAAAATTTTGCTGTAACATCGAAGGCTTATAAGTCTTATAAGGCTTATAAATATTCAATTTCACTTTCATATGACTTTTCGTTTATTAGGTAGACTGATCATACATACACACACACGCAAGCATGCACGCACACGCACACAAACACAGACCATTTTGCGGGACTTGGTTATTTAGAACCAGGACACCTCAAAACAGGAATTTCCGTTAACTCAGATTCGAAAATTTTCACTATTACAATACTTACCCTTACTATATATTGCATATATAGGTAAGTGACAATAAAAAATTAAAGGTACTTTAACGGAAGCAGTTTTGAAAACTAGGAATCTAAACTCTGTTAGAGAATATCAATGAGAATGAGACCTATATTACATTAAAAATCGCTTAATTTTACAGTGATATAATCAATTTAATAAAAATCGTTAGAGCAGTTTTCAAGAAAATTGTAAAAATATGTAACATCGATGATATAAAGTGGCACTTATGGTAAGCCAATTATAATGAAAAAGTTGCATACCAATTTTCATTTTTGAGCTAGACTGTTAAAACACACAAACACGAGCGCGCGCATATACAGGCCATTTTACGAGATGGTTATTTGGAATCAGGGAACCTCAAAAATGTATTTCCGTTGAAAACTCAGATTAAAAAATTATCATGATCACAATACTTTACCTGAGTATATATTTCATATATAGGTAAGTGAAAGGGGGCGGGGTGGCCGAATAGGCTAAAGTGTGTGCACAACACCACTAGTTGCCTGGCAACCGGATAACAGAGATTTGAGATGATATAAAAAGTACGAGTTCGTGTCCCGGTGCCGGAGGGGATTTTAAATTCCCCGTCCTCACCCCCCGGCCCAAAAAAAATATATAGGTAAGTGAAAGTAAAAAGGTTTAAATTTGAATTGGGCAGAAAAATATCAATATATAGGTAAGGAAACCAAAAATAAGGAGTTGTCGGACCATTGGAAAACATATCAAATATGCCAAGAATGGTTTAGAGAAGCAAATAAGTGAAGACCAAGATAAATATGTGCGGTGATGGAGGGAGGATTATTAATGAGTCTAAAACAATAGTTTCTGTCATGGTCTGCATCTGGCTCCCTTCCAACACCGAGAGCCTCTGCAAGAAATAACTTGTATTAAGAGGGATGCTTTCCCTCCTTCCGAACCTAAGTCCTTTAACTGATTATTCTCTCTTACTGAATTCATTTCTATACTTTTCCTTAAGGTTAAGTATGCACTTTGCATAAATTTCCTTTCCCTGCCTGTGCCTTAAAGTTCTGATCCTGATCGTTGGTTTCACAACCTGACCATGGGATTTTAAGAATGGCCACACTGTCATATTTTATTTATTTTATATTTATAATTTATTCTAAAGGGATATTGTTCACAAGACAGTAAAATTATTTTTCATTTCCTTTACAATTAATATACACAGCCTAAAATCTAATATGTAAAATTTAAAAAATTGTATTGTCCTATACAAGCTTCCTTCCTCTTTTAATATTCATAAGCGTTCATTTGTACACATGCGAACCAGGAATTTTTTTTTTAATCTGTTTAAAAAAAAAGAATTAATCAAAGAATTGTTCATATGAATTGATTCACCACAATGATTGAATTGTCAGCTGGTTCAGCTAAAAGAATCGAATTTACCATCTCTACTTGGCGCTATCTCTTCAGCGATGCTGGCTAATTTCATCAGAGAGTACTAATTCATAAAGATATTTGTTCAATGATTAAAAATATTAAACAAATAAAATATACAATTGTGTAAAATTCTGGGCTCTGATTATAGCAAAGGGAGAAAACAATAATATAAAAAAAGTTAAGATTTTATAATTTTGTTTTTCTCGTCCCCTAGTGCGTTTAGATAAGTGAAAGTAATAATACTATATGATAAGAGGAGTTATGTGATGTTACCAAAAATCGTTCTGAAGACAGGAATGAGGCCCTGAAATTTTGTTTTGTTCAACTGATAAAACATATTTATGAAGAAAGAATAGTTTGTAAAAAAATTAAACAAAATATTGCAATAAAATAAAATACCCAAGTGTTGCGCCCACTGAAGAATAACTCCAGTATCATTGGAAACAGTTTCAGCCATGTATACTAGTTCTTTATTGAACTTCCAAGCTACAAGGGGATACAAACCTAAAAAATGAGATACTGATAAAAAAAATCACAATACAAATTTGATATAATTTAATTCATTAATAACAAAATGATAAGTTCTATTATAAATAGAATCCAAACAATACATTAAAAATAAAAAGGAAATTATGCATGTAATTTACAAAGATTCAAAATGAAATGTATGTTTTGATAGATAAGATATTCTTGTTAAGTACAACATAACACCATGTTTAAAATTTCATTAGCTTTATAAATAATATAATATTATTTACCCTAATTAAAAAGGTCTAATTCAGGCAAACTGATTAACTGATTTCAATTAAATGATTAATAATTCAGAAGCCATTTATTTCATAAGCATTTTTCATCACAGATCATAATCATAACCATAACCATTACTCTTAATAGATAAACAGGAACTAAATGGTTAGCTCTTTAATTTTTATTTTTTACTATAAGTCAATGTTTTAAAATCTGTATAATCCATTTTGGTAAACTTACTAGATATTTGAGATCTACATGCTTTGTCACTATTAGCTGAATGAAAAATATTTTTGGTATATTCTATATACCCCCATTATTTATACTATTATTATTGGTAACTACTAAAGTGTGAAATAGGATTGATGGCCCCTAGATTCCAAAGAATTACTAATATATACCAAATACAAGTTTTATAAAAATTGTAACACTTTTCAACTATAGTTTTTCAGACATACTATAAATAAACAACCTATGATCAAAAAGCTATTGTAACAATAAAAAAACTGAGGAATAGTATTCCATTTAACAAGACCAATCATGATCAATGGATAGTTAGCCATAGCTAACAAATGAATAGCTCAAATAAATATATAAATAAATAGCTCTCATAACTAAAAATACTCCCAATGAACTTAATTTTTTCACACAATGTTCCTCTGTCCATTCATTGAATGAGATTTTTATCATTTTAAGGGGACCAGATGTACCAGAATAAACCTCACTTTCATTCATTTATTTAGCTAAAGAAATCTAAAAACTAGAAATATTGTATTTGAAAATGGTAAAAAGGCACACTGGAGTTGATGATGATCCTTAAATGATTAGCATGACAAAAGGATTTATTTTTTATGAATTATACAAATAAGAAGGTTTGGTTTTAAAACAAATAATGTCAGGACTTTTAAAAATTGAATATCATCCATATGCCAATTTTTTATTTCATACTAACAATAAGAATGTTTTCAACAATAATACTTTATTCTAGATTTTAAAAAATTCTTATTAAATATTAATACCGTTAAAACAAGTGAGAGGTTGATCACCCGTATTCACATTCAGAAAAGTCCCAGTACCCAAAGTAACCTTAGTATCTCCCCATTGGAAACACCCAGATCCAATTAATGATGCTGACTGATCTGCAATCTGTTAAAATCAAAACTAATTATTAAATATGAAAAAAATAAATTAAGGATATTTAAAATTATGTTAGCTTATCAATTAATAAAAAAAGATAACCTTTGAGCAATATGAACCAGCCCCTAATCTGCACATCTGTCATGTAGATTGTAGACATAGATTTAATAACCATAACTATAACTTTAAATTCTTCAAAACGGCATTTGCCTTTATCTTGTTTTATAATGGAATTTTGTATAAATATTTTAAATTAATGGTATTTTTAAATCACCTCTCCCGCTTAATTTAGCATTAGAACATGCTATGAGAGAGATAATGCGTCCCAAAAAAGTTTGAATCTGGATGGAATAATACCTGTGCTTGGTTATGATGATGATTTGATACTGTTAAGTGAATACATAGAAACTATAAAACTAATAGAACATTAATGAAAGCCAGTAAAGAACTGGGATCAAAATAAATATGGATAAGACAATATATATGGTTAGTTGCAAAAACGAGGACAATTTCGGTGATATAGATATAGAAGTGAATATGTTTGAACACGTAGAAAAGTTTAGATATCTAGGGTATAAGATTACTAGAAAAAACAAAATTGAAGAGGAAATTAAGGTTAGGTTGAAGGCGGGAAATGTTTTATTTTCCTGTAACAAAAGTAATTAGCTTGCGCCTACTATCCCAAAACTTAAAAACTAGAGTTTACTAAACCATCATCCTACCTAAGGTTCTTTACAGAAGCAAAACGTGGCCGCTTACATCAAGGGATGAGCAAAATCTTATGGCTTTTGAAAATAAAGCATTACGTAGAATATTCGGAATGAAGAAGGATGAGTCAATCAGAGAATTTAGACAGTTATACAACGCTAAATTGCATGAACTGAACCCGGTCAACATAATTGAGGTGATTACATTTCAGTGAATAAAATAGGTATGTAAAATTGTTTGGTTTAGTAACAAAAGAATCTCTAACATTTTAATATGTGCTGTGCTGACTGGCAAAGGTCCGAGAGGTTAACCGAAGTGAAGGAGGAAAGATTGTGTTAAAGCTGTTCTAGTGAGACTGGGTTAGGATGGCCGTTCGAAGGAGTATGGTTTGTAAAAACCGACTGGTGATGTCAGCATCGAACCTTTGGGTTGGCTAAGCTTTTTATTTTATAAGGTCAGGATGGTTCTGATGGAAGGTCGTGATGGCCGAGAGCATTAGAACGTTACCCATTTTAGCAATGCCGGTTCGAATCCGGCCTGGGAGAGATTAACTTTTATTTCATGGCGGGTTCACAAAATGAAGCTCGACTCTCCCACTCTGTTTAGAATAGGTTTGGTTACACGTCTAGAAGAAATTGTGTTTGAAATTGAAGATGAAAAATTAAATCTCACAAAAGTATATAAAAGTGTGGCATTTGTCAATAGATTATTTATAATTTCATAAAAATTACACCAGAAAAAACTGTTGCAGAAAGATTTTATAGCAGATATCTTAAAATAATTTATAATATATACATCATTTTTCAATCAGTCTTGCATTCTTTTATTTTTTTTTACTACAAGAAAGGTATTTTAGAACAATATATGAAAAATATAACAATGATAGATTGGTATTAGCACCATTAAACGAAACTCCTCAAACCCTTAGTATCCTGTTTTCGTAGTTGGACATTAAAATAGATGAAAATCGAAAATGTATGAAAATAATTAAAAAGGCTTAGTAAATCATAAGGCTTAGTAAACACAAACATTGAGAATGATAGGACCACAAATCATTGTCTACATATCTCTCACCACAACCCAAATCGACGGTCAAATCTAACACTACTATAACCGATGACTCAGTCTACTCCTAGATGTTAATCAATAGCTTCAATACTGATAAGCTTATTAGGAATTTTTCCATTGTCCAGCACAAATAAATAACAATATAATAAAATAATCATTAGAATACACAAATGATAAATGAAAGCAACCTTGTTCGTTGAATAAAAACAAACTTACACAACAACGTAGAGGTATGGGTACCCCAAATATTGATCTGTCTACAGAGCCAAAATGACGACCAGCACTGTCAACTATATTTGGAAACATTTTCATAGGAATATCAAAAAGTTTGAAGGGCCAGGATGACCATGTCAATAGAAATGGGTCAAAAAGTCCTGTTGCGCTAGCATTTGATACATCAGTGACATGTAGTTTTTTTCCAGAGAATTTATATAACAGCCAAGTATCAATAGTTCCAAAGGCAACGCTGTTTTTGCACAAATCATTGGCAACTTGATGATTATGAGTTATGACCCACAAAAGCCTTGGTGCAATCTGAAAAATTAATGATTTTTTCAATTAAATATTTAATATAGTGACAATACAAAAAAAGAAGGTTTTAAAAAAAATGGCAGGTACCTGGGCATTGGTTAATTTGTAACTGCTTCCAAACAAAAATCTTGGATTTCTGGTTATAAAAAACAGACATCTTGAAAACAATTTAAAGAGCTAAAATATAAAAAATTGTACACACAAAAATTAATTATCAGGTTTTTAAAAGGTGAAGGAAAAGTTTAAACTGCATACCAAAGCTAATAAATGCATCAAACATGGAGGTAAAATAAGGAATAAAAAGTAAATAAGATATAAAATTCAACAAAAGCTAAGAATAGATGCAAATTAATTTTGGACGCATAAAACAAACATCCAACATAATCAACTTACAAAAGCCTTTTTAGTAATAAAATAAAATACCCTTATTTTAATGGAACTGTTTGCTTTTAGTACTATATCATTAGCTCTGATATCATTCCAGGCAATGAAGTTGTGATAGCCCTTGCCTGTATCTTTGTTCCATAACATGAAGGTATTCCTCTGGCAGGATAAGCCAAAACATGAAATATTCTCAAATTTAATGTTCGCAACTAAAAAAAGAATAAAATAAAGCATCAAAATTAAAAATCTGGTGCGGTAAGCACATTATACAACTTTCACCCTCATCTTAGCAGAAATAAGTATTTTCAGATAAAGGGGAAGTGAAAGTAAAAATTATAAACGCTATATTTATATTTCATTGTGGACATTTTTATTTGTTTAAGTACCCTATTATATACAAATTTTAATATTTATATCGCTGTACTTTATACAATTAAAAATTAAATAATACAAACGAAAACATTTAGGAAAACTGGATATGTATATGTACTTAATATTGTCGGAGTCCGTATTATATTAAGCTCATGTTACTATGAAAGCCTGTTCTAATCTTCGGGCGAGCTCTCGTATCCCTTTGATTCCTTTATTACTATTTTTTGTTACAATCTCTTGTTTCTCCTTTAGTTAATTATCAAATCCTTTCATATTTTATATTTAGCTATTTTTTATATTAGAGGTCAATGTGAAATGGTTAATTGTTTCAAATAAAAAAAATTAAAGGTACTTTAGAGGAAGCTAATATTGAAAATTAGCCATTTAAGCCCTGTTAGAGAAGATCAATGAGAATAAAACCTAGATAATATTAAAAACTGCTTAATTTTACACTAATATACCGAGTTTGATCAAAACTGCTGGAGCCGTTTTTGAGTAAATTGAAAAATTTGTTTCATCGATGATATAAAGTGCCACTTCCGGTAAGCTGATTTTGACGAAAGAGTTCCTGTAACATCTGAGGTATATTTATACATCAAATCTGTAATTTCGCTTTCATACGACTTTTCGATTTTGAGCTAGACTCGTCACATACTCACACACACACACACACAAACACACTCCATTTTGCAGGACTTGGTTATTTGGACTCAGGAGATCTCAAAGCATGTAGATTCAAAAATTTTCAAGATCGCAACACTGTCCCTTACTATATCGTTCATATATAGGTAAGTGAAAGTAAAAATATGCCATGCCGAAAGTCATGGCATAAGATCAGCAGAGATAGTATCATACTTTGTCAAATATCTAATTTCTTCTTCTTCTTCATCCACGTCACTACAACTCATGAAGAGTCTTGACTTCTTCAAGACGTGTCCGCCAGGCGTCCCTATCCTGCGCAGCCGTTTTCCAGTTACGGACACCAAGTAGTGTACGTGTATCCCTTGCCAGACAATGGTGTCATCGCAACCATGGTCTTTCCACTCTCCTAGAGCCTTGCTCATTGCTCTCCATAGTTTTTTTTTTTGGATTTCATTAATTTGTATCCTCGCCACATGCCCTGCCCATAACAGTTTTGCAAGGTTTATGATTCTTATGACATCCGGGTCCCTGAACAGATTGTAGAGCTCTTTGTCATATCTAATCCTTCAGTTTTGTTCATCGCGCACAGGACCATAGATTCTGCGGAGCACCTTCTCAAAAAACACTAGGGCTCACTCGTCTACTTGCGCCATGGTCCATGCTTCGGAGTCATACATCAGTACCGGTTGAATGAGCGTTTTATAAAGCTGTGGCTTTGTGCTGCGAGAAATGAGTTTACTTTTGAAATGCTTATTTAGAGCAAAATAGCACATGTTTTCTGCTAATATTCCTCTCTCGATCTCTAGGTTTCCTATGTCTTCTCTATTTATCAGAGTTCCCAGATATGTAAACTCATTAACTGTCTGGAATTTATACCTCCAATACACATATACTTGGTTTTTGCTTAGTTAACGACCAGTTCTAACCCTCTAGCCGCTGCTTCTAGTAGGATAAACGCTTCTTTCATAGCATTCATCAATCTGGCCATTATGTCGATGTCATTGGCATATGCAAGTAGCTGTACAGTCTTATTCAATAGCGTACCAGCAGTCTAGATGCCAGAGTGTGTTATTGTGTTGGATATAAAAAATCTTGACCAGTTAAACAAAATATTTTATTCTATTATAAGTATTTGTGACTCTATCAATACAAGTACAAACCGTCAGCTTTAGATCAGGCATGTGTTCATATGTCCGTGGGCGTACGTGTATTTATTCATAATTTGGGTGCCTTTTAAATGTTATTATTAATTGTACGATTCTTCATGTGCGTTGTAATCCTAAGATCTCTGCTATTTGTTTTGCTTGGTTGAGTAAATCTGCATAGTAAATTTTCTTTAGTATAAGCAAAAGCCTCTGGAAGAGCACGTTTGATAGAACTTTGTAAGTACTGGAGAGCAGAGAAATTACTCTATAATTTTCACAGTTAAGTTTATCACCTTTCTCTTGTTCCAATCCTTAGGTAATTTCTCTTCTGTCCAGATACTCAAGAATAGCTCGCATAAGAATTTTACCAGCTCGGTACATCCATATTTGTATAGTGTAATATACACCTTTATTGAAAGTGGGTAAAAATGATTTAATAAATTAATGTAACAATGAAAAGGCAAGCTAACCTAGTTCTACCAGTGCAGGGAAAATAAAATGGCTGATCTGTAGTTTCTCAGGAAGTAAAATCCCAAAGAGGAAAGGGAGAAAGGATCCTGGCTCCAGTGGGTAAAATCCAATAATAGTGTCACCATTTTGGAAGTTGTGTTTGGCAGAACATTGGAAAGTATTTGAAGACAAATGAATTTAGTGCAACAAAGGAAGAAACAGTGTATATATAAAAAAGGTTAGCTTGGCAATCCATATCTGACTTTATTTTAAAATCAAACAATGTTTAGTATTGTGAATTTTAGTTTGTCTGATAGTTTTGATCTGATTGTCAGTAACCCACACCTGAGATAAATAAATATATTAATTCTCTTATAATTTTGTTTATTATTAAACAATCTATTATTTATTTAGGGAGTATCCCAATGGTAAGAAGTGAGCTTCCGAGGTTATATTATTATAATTATTTGTAAAATAAAAGAGATATGTTACAATAGTTAACCTGGAAGTCCATCAAATCTGGGGGTTTTGTTGTTTTCGAGCTTTCTTATTGCCTCCTCTACTTCCTCATCATCTGGTGGTTCCAGATCATCATTGGCACTATAACCAGGTGTTACAGCATCCTCATCAATGTTGGCATTTCTCAATCCTTCAGTAAGGAGGTCTTCGAAATATCTTCTCCATCTATCAAGAATGTCCGTCTTTTCCGTCATAAGATTTCCATATCCATATCTACATGAAGAAACTACTAGTTGATAAGGTTTGAGCCCTTCGTTAATTTTTTGGTAAAATTTCTTCACTTCGTTTAGGTTCCTGTGTTCTTCAATGGCCCTAACTCCTTGCTTTCGTATTCCAGTTTTTTTCTCTTGTGTAACCTTTTTTCAATTCTTCTTTTTCACGATATTCCTCAGTAGCCTACCATAAGGGGTGTCTGTTGCATGCAGAAGCCTGGAGATCAGCACCTCCATGGGATACCACAGCTCACTACACCATGCACACTCACCAGAACAGTACACACCTTACACTAGGGCTACCTTTCCTAGGAAACATTTCTATTCCAGGGAAATGACTCGGTTGTCAAAAGGATCTTACTTTTGGATATTGGAATGTTTTAAGCATGTATAGACCTGGAGCACTGCAGATGCTCTTAAATATCATAGATGAATACAAGTTGGACATAACAGCCATCCAGGAAATACATTGGACCGGACATGGAATCATCAAAAGAGATATATTATAGCTGCCATAGTAAACACCATATCTTCGGTATCGGGTTTATTGTTGGTAAGAATGTAAGGTCGTTAATTACAGATTTCAAGCCTGTAAATCCCAGAATTTGCTATTTAAGAATAAAAGGGATTTTTTTTAATTATAGCCTTTTCAGTGCCCATGCACCCATGGAAATGTCAGATGAAATTGAAAGAAATGAGTTTTACGAGACTTTTGAAAGAACAGTAGATACAGGCTCTAGAGCTGAAATAAAGATAATAATGGGTGATTTTAACTCAAAAATTGGCAATGAGTGTATTCTTCCCGACTATTGGTCAGCATAGCCTGCACAATGACACTAATGATAAAGGACAAAGATTAGTAAACTTTGCCTCATCTAAAAACCTTATCTTAGGTAGCACACTTTTCCCACATAAAAAGATTCATAAGGTAGGAAATTCCCAGATGGGGGAACTATAAATCAAATCGATCATATCTTGATGAGTGCACTACATTGATCAAATCTGATCAATGCCAGAACCTACAGAGGAGCCAACATTGAGTCTGATCACTTTTTAAGTATTGCCTGAATCAGAGCTAGGATAGCAAACACTAACCCAAGAAGAGAAAGACAAAAAGTATGGTACAAATAAACTGAAAAATCTAAATGTGTGTCAAGTGAATGAGGTATGAATAAATAAAAATTAATAACTCTAGATGTATCAGACGATAATAATATTGATCGTATATGGGATGCATTCAAAGTTTCGCTGGATTCGGCAGTTGTAGAAGTTCTAGGTAAGCAGGAAAGTTCAACTAGATCTCTCTGATTCGATGAAAAGTGTCATTTGGTGACTGGAGCAAAGAATGAGGCCTATAGAAAAATACTTCAAAAAAAGAAACACTCGAGCTATAACTGAAGAATATCGTAAAAAAAAAAAAAAAAAATCTATTTAAAAAAATTATCTTGTCTAATGCCTAGGGTTCTCTCCATACCACCTCCGAAGAGTAATGGTACATGATCCTCTCTTAAGAAATTTTATGGCTCTTGTCTTCTTTAAAAATGGTGCTAGTTAAAGCAGAATTACAAAGAATGTAGTTTATTTACAACTACATGATGTGATTTGTTTCTTTTATTTTATTGTTCTCTTGTTCGAAAGGACCCCGCTCAAAAAATCATAACCCTGTTTCCTTCAAACATTTTGGTGCCATGGGGCAGCCCTACTAAAGCCATATACAAATTTTACTTAACCTAACAGTTTAAACTTCTATATTCCTAACCTACAAGACAACTGCTGGTGGACCGATAGTATATAGCAACCATATATCTGCCTTATTCAGCTCCTGGCTGCTACCTATTGACTAATGAATTAAGTGTTATGGTCAAAAATTTTTATCAGGGCACACATGTTTAAATTTTAGATATAACATAACAGGTATAAAGAAGAAAATATTTTATTAAGTACATAAAATAAACAAATTTGAGAATGATTATAACACAAGTTTTCATTACTGAATACAAATACTTGCAAGCCTTCAAACAGTCATATTGTGGCAGTACTTTCCTTTTGAAGTTGATTCCCTTACTTGTTTAGGTTTTTCCTTGATAGAAATTCTATTTATCCCTAGTGGATTAGTCCCATTCAGATTAGGATTAAAAAGTGCTGTTGAGGAAACAGGTAATAATGGTGCCTGTCTGATGGCAACAAGATAGACATTTGAGAACCAATTAGTTTCTAAGTGATTCAACATAATTAAGGGTAAAAGTAAGGACCCTTCAAAGGATTACATCCTGAAATTACTATTCGCACTTTTCAGTTTTATTTGACATGACTTCTAACATCAAAAATACCGAACTATACCAAGGTAAAGTTGACAAATTAACCAAAAATTTAATGCATAGTTTTCTTTAATACAGGTGGGAAGTCAGATCAAGTCGACTATATGTATACTTTGCAAAATATAGCTGTTTCATTAATTTTTCCTTGATAATTCATATTCCATATATTTATTGAAGAAATACTTTATATTCGATTTGAAAGAGAATTAAGTTTTCTATAGATGTCTAGCACTCATTAAAATAAGAGTAAGTGGCTGTTAAATCATCAACATTAGAGTCGTATTTCAGCCCATGGCAGCAACTTGAGCTCAAATTGTTCATTTTTTCCATCTTTAAGTAGTATAATTTAACTATAGGGTGGATCCATAAGTTTGTTCGGTTTTCATTAGTAGAGCAAATTGTTTTTATATATCTTCAGTTCTCTTTGCCTTGTCTGACAATAATGATACTTATCGAAAAGGTCAAAGGCGGCATTGAAAAAGTTGTTTGGCATTAGTTTTGTTTGTGTTACAGCTTAGTGAATAAGCCAAATCATAAAGCGAATTTTCGGTATATATTTCTTTTCTATTTCAAAAAATGCAAGCGAGCTTCGGAGGCCCATCAAAATATGTGTAAGGTATATGGAGACGATGCCTTGACAGAACGTACTGCTCAAAAATGGTTTGCCAAGTTTCCTTTTGGAAATACAAGTCTCGGAGATGCACCCCACAGCAATCAGACCACCGAGGTTGATTCGAGTGATATCATGGCTCTAATCAAACAAGACCCGTCGCTAAATGTATGAGAAATTGGAGACACAGAAAATAGATTTTGGAACTGCTCAAGGCATTTATTTCCAAAACGAATAGTGGCGAGTGAGGAAACGGGATCCCTCTCCTATAACGGGATAATCTACGAGAATGTAGTGCGCAGGAAATCGTGGACAACTGCTGATGTGCTGCCTATGCCACCCCGAGGGCCAGTCTACATCCGAAAAGCATTTTGCTCTCCATATGGTGGTGTTATATATACATTTGGGACATATCGTGGCATGCTGTTTTATGAGTTGCTTCCACAAGGAAAAATGATTGATTCGAAGATCTACTGCAGTCAGCTAACGAAATCGGATCAAGCATTGTGACAGAAACACCCAATGAACTAGTCAATAACAAAGGTGTTATATCCCACTATGACATCGCCAGACCACATTCTACAATAACCACACAGTTAGTGCAACTTGGCTGGGATGTTTTATTACATCCACCGTATTCTTCAGAACTAGCACCATCTGACTGAAACTTATTCCGGTCCCTCCAAAACTCCCTCAACGGAAAATCAATGAGAGAGATATGAAATCACCATTTATAATAATACTCTAAAAATTAGGGAATGAACTATACCTCAGTCTGTGAGCTCTAATGAATGGCTTTTCACTTTCTCACATATTAATTACTGGACATAAACTCTATAGGAAATTTAATGCTCTTTTAATTTAACTCAAGGTTAGGTAGAATCTTCATCTATGAGTAGGCGAAAGGTTGCTGTTATAAATCCAGTCAAGATAGACAAATAAAAATAATGTAAAATATTAATGTTTAACTTGAGTGTTACAGCTATGACCAAAATACCGTGTTCTATAACAGCTGCTTACATTTAAATGAGATCTATGGGAAATTTAATGCTCTTTCAATTTCTCTTAATGGTCTAATAATGCTTTTCTTTGAGAAATGAGTAGATTATGAGTTATTAAGGCAAAACTGATGAAGACAACTATTTCTGGCGAAGTACTCAAATAGTCAACTTCCTTAAAAATCGTCACCCATTGGCCCAGGGTCCTTCATGAGTAAACTATACATGAAATGTATAGTTCTTTTACTTCTCTTCACTGAAATCAGTTTGTATAGAGTGATATTTTTTATAAAATACTTAGTTTCGGAATTATGGCCAAAATTTTACTGTTTTATAAGTATATCACAGAACACTATAAGAAATTTTGTTGCAAACTGCAACAGGGTTTATGACACTCATTCAGTCAAGGTGCATTTATTTTTCAGAGGCACACCGTATCAAAATTTCAGCTGAGAGTTTTCTCGTTAAATGAAAAATCAAATTTCACCACTTTAATTAAAATGTTTGTAAATACAGAAACAGCTTTCATCTAACTGACCAAAGTTTTGTTTTCTGGTGAGGGTTATCTGGAATTTAAAATGGTTATAAGCTGTTAGTTATTTTGCTAAATGAAAACATCAGTAGCTCTTAGTCTATAATAACTATTGATAAAACTTTGTGCCTCACAGATGATGCCTAGAGTTTTAAGTTTGAATGTATTATGTTTATGTAATTTCAAATACATAAATTTACAGAGTAATTATTTGACAAACAAACAAAATTATCTTTCTAGTAAAAAACTCATAATTAATAACACACACATGGCGGAAGGGGGGAAGATTTATTATTTTAATATATAGGGCAGTAATACCAAAACCCATGAACAAAATTTATATAAGGTTTTGCAGCTAGAACGCTATCAATAGGAAGAAAAATAAGGAATCATTTAAAATTTACCTCAAATAGTATCTCATGCAATGAAGGCTGAGGTTATAATGGATAGAGCATACAGCTTGAAGCTGTTTGTTAGAACACATCTAGATAAAAATAAATGCAAAAATAGTTGGTAAAATTCCATGTAGGAGAACTAGAACCAAAACAATAAAAAGAATAAATAGAGCTTCTTGAGAACAGAGCACACTGGAAAACTATAAACTGTAAGACAGATGTAGAGCACAAAAATCGAAGCAGTATATGATTTATAAGATCAATAAAACTTACAGCAATTCATTTAAATTATTATATTTTACAAAAAAATATAAGTAAAATAAATATTTTTTACCTAAAGGAAAGAGATAATCTGTTAAGTGGAGATCTCTTAAGGATGGAATAAACAAACTCAATGCTCTTTACTAATTTTAACTTATACTTACCGCCAACTGCATTGTAAATAACATCTAGTACAGTCTCCCATAATTCTTCAGCTACTATTTCCACATAGCCTGGTTGGGGTATGAGAAGCTGAACCTAAAAAAAAAAAATATGGCATGGATTCAAATTTTTTTTTTTTTTTTCTTGAAATGTAGGGCCTTCCCTAGTGAATGGTAAAATTCCATGTCAACAATCTATGATCACTTAAGAGATTAAACTGTTATTTCTATTGAGTTTAGCCTGTTAAAGGTGGAAACATGATTAATTATATTAAAAACATTCTTCATACCAAAAATGACAATAATTTGTATATTGACAAAGGAATATGGGTATACACCACTAGTTAGCTACTGGGAGGCTGTCACCATATACTTACCAGAGTGGGAATGTTGTGTCAAGATTAACTTCCTATGGCTACCGAAATAAATAAATATTAACTGACCCAGGTGGGAATCAAATCCACAACCGTTCAGAATCCAGCAACCCAGAAACCACACTCAAACGTACTCAGTCATCACATTCTCTATTTACATATTAAAACAGTAGGTAAGCATGGAACAACTAACTAGAAAAAAAAAAGTATAAAAAAAATTAAGATAACTCAACTAAGATAATAATAAAAGAATAACCTTTAGAACCATAATATTGTAAGAAGTAATGATACTTAAAAGTTTTAACTGTTAATATACAGCTTCCAACTTTAACATTCTATTTCTACATATAAATACAGATTTTGATAACTCTTGTAAGATTTTAATGTACCAAAAATGAAGGGCATAGGGGATTTTTATAACTTGGTCTGCATCAATAATTTTTAAGATGGGTGCAAACATTTACCATTACATCATCAATTGTGCAGACATTTGGCCATAACATCATAATGTGATACAGCACTATTGATATATTTGGATGTCAAACTGTACCTAAAACTTGTGACCATAGAATGAAACCACAGCAATCCATGCATGGCATTGTCGTTTTTTTTTTTCAGCATCACATTAAAAACATACAGCACAATCACACTGTGCATCCTCTTGGCATATCTGGATGGACCTGTATAACAGCTCCTTAGTTTCAACATGTAATATATGTAAATAAATTATAATCACTAAATTTTAATAATCATATTTATAAGAATAAATAACTACAATTTAAACAAAATAAGAGATGTAGAGTGTATTAAAATCCACCTAGACTTGAAACCTCATTTAATTATTGCAACAATCTGCACCGAAACCCCATTTCGTTAAGTTTCTTCCTTATGGCATGGGTCGAAACTTCAATTCCCTAACTTCTCTCAATCAATTCCCTAATATCAGTTGCTATATGTGGAATGATTAAGCCAGCACCTGGAGTGGAGTGGGGGTATCCAAAGGTGGAGACGCAGGAAGCTGGCCATCTTGGAAAGGGCTAAGCGTCGTTGTGCTGAGACTAGCTAGTGTGGGATCAAGATAAAGAAAAAATAATGTAAATCATTTCTGTCCTCCTAATGTTTTCTGTGTATTGTAAGTATTAATGAATAAGGTAGTGAACAGATCAGCACAATATTAAATTATTTGTAAGGTAAATATAGTGTTTTGTATTTTTGAAGTTCATTCATATTCATTCCTCTAGCCTAATTAATTCTATCTCCTACTCCTCTCAATAAACATGATAACCTTTGGAAAGGAAAAGAAATTTTAAGTAATATATACAAATTAATATTTAGCTTAAGTTCAATCAAAGAAATAGATGAATAGCATAGCATAACACAGTGTTGAGGTAGTTAGCTCTCCTCATAGAAACTTCCATTTTATCCTCACCTCTTTAGTTAGTTATAAGTTTCTTCCAACCTCTCTTCTTTTTTGATCGTCGATAATCAGTTTAAACTATTTTTCGTATTGACCAAAATGGGGTTCCATAATTTCTTCCAGCTTCACGGTAGCTCATTACCAGAGAAGTAATGGAATCTGTGCCAATAACCAGAGAACCAAGACATCCTCCAATATTTGTGAAACATTTTAAGTTATTTTCTGTCAAGCTAAATAAAATCTGGTCTGGCAGTCATTTATGTCAACAGGACCAATGACACTAAAACAACATGAGATACTCCTGAAACGTATCGAAAAATAGTAAAATACTTATCAGAAATTATTGCAGATTTTCACACATAGCAGCTGAGGAAGGAGAAAGCATTACAAGTAGTGATAAGAAATTTTCACACCTCAACTCCAACTAAAATGATAAAAGAAAAACTAACTAAGTACATTTTCAAATTGAATTAAAACTAAAATTTTGAAGGAGAGTAAGAAGCAGCCTTTACAGGGGTAAGAACTCTACTACAAGAACGCCCACTACCTTTGTTTTTTGTGGACCTGAAGCCATCACCAGGTATTGAAAAAATATTGGAAATCAAAGGAATCTACCACACAAGTGTGAAAGTAGAGAAACTGTACCCCAATAGGGAAATCGTGCAGTGCCACACAGGCATATGTCCACATGAAGACTTATGGAGTTAGAAATCACAATGATGAACTAACAGCTTTGCTACTAGACAACTTGAAACTTGATTAACCATAAAATAGCTTTTAAAAATATCAAGATACATAACATATCGTACTGAACTACCTGACGGTAGAGCACATGCTGGTACTGCTGACATTAAACACCAATCCCTCTCTCATCACCTACTAAAGATTTCCTACAATCTACCGCCATCCTAATCAAAACCTTCTCCTTTCCAGTCACGCTTGCATCAGCATATTGCCCTACTAACAGATCCATATCTAATGTCCAGTTCAGTTCTTTCTTCAACTCCTTAGGACATCACTTCATCCTGGGTTCAGACTAAAATGCCAAACATCAACAATGTGGTTCAAGAACTACAAATTCTTGTGGTATAATCATGCTGTCTGCACTCAATTCGCAACGCTTTAGCCTCCTTCCTCCTAACTCACCTACTGGCCCTCTGATCCAAACAATAATCCTGATATTCTTGATTTTTTCATCCACAATGGTTTAAGTTCCCCCAAACATTCCCTTACCTGTCTTGATGAACTTTCCTCAGATCACAGTCCTTTAATACTCCAATTGTCTCTCGTTCCTATTCCTAAATGCTCTCCACTGTCCTTCTTCAGAGGTCCAGTTAAATTGAAACTCTTTCATCAAATCCTTTCTGATAAAACTGACATCAAAATATCCTTGAAAACACCAGACGACCTTGACAATGCCATACAATCATTTACCATAGCTATTCAACAAGCAATCTGGACTGCTTCCTCCCCAAATCTCTCCTCAAGAATCCCTAAGAAAAATAATTTACCTTAATACCCGATATACCTAATCCACACCAAGAACCGGGCCAGAGTATTATGGCAACGTACGAGACACCTCACCGAACACTGCTCCTATAATTATTACAGTAAAATATTAAAGCAACAATGGGCCGCCTTCAGATCCCAATCCTTTAACTCCTGCCTTACTTCCCTCTCTTTCCATGACAATTCCCCATGGAAGAGCACTAAAAAATTTTTAAAACCTCATTATATTTTACATCTCGTCTGACAAGGTGATGGCTCTTCAGCAATGCCTGATGAAGATAAAGCCGAAGAATACGCCAAAACACCTTTCCAGTACATTCACCTCTCATACAGAATCCAACCCAACCCACACCACAACAGTAGACAAATTCCTTACTTCACTTATCTCCTTACCTCCTAAAGCAGTTTAATCCTTGTGAGGTCAAATACCATTTCCAAAAACTATTTATGAAAACTCCTGCATATGACCTCCTTACATCTCAGATACTTCCACAACTTGCTCCTCACCTACGTAGAAAATAGCATCCTAGAAACCATCCACTTTCCCTTTTATGGAAACATTCCATTATTACCCTATTTCCCAAACCAGGTAAACTCCCAAAAAGCTTGATATCCTATAAACCAGGGGTCTCTAAACTATGCTCTGCAAGCACCTCCAATCCGGTCCAAGAAAGTATCTTTGATAACATGGTAAAATTTTAAAATTACTTTAAAAATATGAAATTTATCACTCAAGCAGGAGGACTCTACAACATTTACTGCAGGAGGTGTTTCTCTTGCTCTTGCTTGAAAGCCAAGTTCATAACTGAAATGCTATTTAATCATCACAAGCCATAGCTCGCAGGATTTAGTGGAGATCACAATACAGCCCGCAGAACTTATGTCACCTTCACCTTTTGATGAACATCATGTCTGCCAATTCATTTCAACACCATACTGCGTCCTTTTAGACAGGAACTTAATGTGAAATTCACATACTAGACCCAAACGACAAGAATTTAACTGATGATATGGCCACCTATATGTACAGAGTACTGACTAGAAAATCTCAACTTTCAATTGAAAACAAATTACTAATCTACAAGACAATCCTGATACCCATTTGAACCTAAAGAATAGAACTGTCAGAGCTGCTAAATTTTTTAATAACAAACGCATCTCATTCTTTCAATTCAAAGTCCTTCAAACAATAGTAAATATTCCATTCTGTTTCATACAAAATCCTACACCATGAACGCATTTTCCTAAACCTTATCCCAGACTCTAAATTTTTTGACAATCAGAATTTCTAAAACTCTCTAAATTTTTTGTCAATCAGAATTTCTAAAAATCTCTAAATTTCATGACAACTTTACGTTTCATCTAAATCACCTATAAAGAAGATGTTATTGAAAAAGAAGAATCTAAGATGAAGAAGAAAATGAAAACTCTTGAAGAAGCATCAATGTTTGTAACATTGTCTATTAGAGTGATATATTGATTGGAGCAGAACATTTAAGTACAAGCAAACCTGTTAATGGAGTTCTTTTTAAAAACTATTTTTTAATACAATAATCAAACAATGTAACAATTTAATGTAAATATAATTATAGATAATCAAAGTACCATGATAATAATCAAAACTGGAAAAATACCAAAACATAAAAACAACCAAATTTGGCAAAAACATATTTTTCGCAGATTTATTTGGGCACTTCTTTACAAGTGTTGTTCTCCATAGTTGGCCCAAGATCTCCTGATCCTGATCACACTTATAAATTTTATTCAGAGAATGGACGAATTTTGATAACAGATTCATGGGAATAATTTCTCTTTATTTAGATTATTATTTAAGTCTCTCAACTGGTCCATTTAAGTTAGTCAAAGTCTTATTTAGTCATAGTTACATTGCTGCTTTTGACTTTTGCTTCTTCAAAAGGGATAGAAAACCCGCAACAGGCCCTTGTCAGTTGAGATTGGGGCATTATCAGCCATTCTGGAAATGAAGTAAGCCATTGGAGTGTGATCATGAAATCTTGTGCTAATCCATCAAAGTGGAGCAACACTTGTAAAGCAGTTACCATAGTTTGTTCTGATTACTTGTAAAATAGTACCTTTGTTCTGTTTATCTTCTATAACAAATAATGAAATCCATATGTCGCCAATTCCTGTGTTGCCGGAGAGAAAGAAATAAACAAATAAATTTAAAAAATTGATATTCTATGGATGATAACATAATTAAATAGTTGATAGTGCACTTATATATCTGTATCAGTATATAAACAGTTAAATCCCAGGTATATTAGTATGTCGTAATGCCTGTTTTATAAAATCAGTCACTTCTTCCAAAAAACAGAGATAATTAAAACAGCTTCAACATTTCTCTTCTAATCAATAGGTGCTAACTGGATAAGTCAGAGTGGATATTAGTCACTTTGAAAAATAACGGCAAAGAACAAAAAAACGCTCTAAATTATGTTTACACTTTACCTATTTTGTGTCTATGAGCACCATTGGATATAAAAACTTATTTAGATGTTTCACATACTTATAATTGAAGATATTCTTGCATAATTAACTATAAATATAAGCGTTTTTGTCTGTGCTTACTTTATATTTTAAAGGTACCTTTAGACATTTCACAAACAATGGGACCAACAAATGTATATTTCATGTTTTTGATATTTCCATCTGCTGTCAGTATCAAGAGAAATAAAATAAATAGTTTGGTTTAGCAATAATGTAGCTGATAGTGAAGTTGGATAATTGTATTTTCCCAGTTTGTGAAATATTTAATTGCACCTTAACATTTACTGTCACTTTCCACTTTTAGTTAATTTTTCACTGTTTTCAATATGCAGTATAGTCTTAAGCACTCAAGATTTTGCAATTAACTATCTTTAATGGTACCACTGCTGAATCACATACCAATAATACCATTAAAATGTTAACATGATAACAATTCAACATGTATAATAGGAAGGATAATCATTATAAAAAAATGAAAAAGGCGAGTAAATAAAGTTTTTGTTAAAATATACATGTAACATTTTTTCTTTGTATTAATAATTTTAACACTTACACAAGATCTGCTTTTGGCTTTTATTTTTCCGTTCTGATCATATATAATACAACGGACGTTCTTAGTGCCTATATCAAGCGAAGCTATGAAATTCCGTTTTAGTTTCATTATAAAAATAAAGTATAACAAACAATAGTCTCCTTCGTTTAAATTCAAAAAGGCTCTTATTTTAGAGGCAACCCAAAGAGGTAAGATACATGCAGTGGTTCCGCGCGCTCTGTGATCAATCATCATACCGCAAACTTCATCCTTCCTCTTACGCTTGCTCATTGTAAATTTATAACTATTGTAGAGTCAATGTAACTGTTTTTCTTTGGCCATTTATGCCATAACTTTACTCATTTGTTCAATTCATACATTTTTAAATATTTTTTCATAATTTTTTTTTTGCATATTCATTATTGGTGCAACCACCTTCTGGTATTCTTTACCCATCTCCATCTGAAAATCCTCATCCATAAATTCCTTCAAACAACTCTTATTCCACAACCTACTTCATTTTCAAACAACCACATCTATTTAATATTTATTAGTTTCTGTAATTACATTAGCTCGTTAAGGATTAATCAACAAGTACTATTTGAATTTTTTTTAATAATTTTATATATATGTAAACCATATAAAATTCGCTTGTGCTACTTTATATACTGTATAATCGCGAGTGCAGTTGCAATTAACAGCTAAATGACATGTAATTCTTTGAATTTTGTAAAGCCAGACTAATGGGTTCAATTTTTTTAACTCTGTTATTATTCTAAGGGGAGTTCAGTACCAGATGTTATAAAATGGAATTATTTTATTTTTATTAGAAACACATCTGTTTAATAATTAATTGTTTAAATGGACTTCTAATTCAAGTGCAATAAAGCCTAGTTCGGGTTAATCTTTCTTTTAGAACAATTTATTACACTTAAATTCTATTATTGATGGATCGCATTCGCGGAACATCAGTCCCAACAATATTTGACTCCATCCACCATTAATGCTGTCGCATTAAACAGAAACTTGCCCTAATGAAAAAGAATCTCAATCTTCTTCTCAATCAGTATCATCAGTACGTTCAATATATTACTTCTGCGGCCTTCATAAACACCATAGGTGCGTCTGTCAGGCCAGGGAGGCTATCTGTAGAGGCTGTGGCATAAAAGGCCACTACCAGAAGGTATATAAAAAAACAACATAAACATTCTACATCATCTCGTTCCCCGACTCACTCATTTAATTATTTAGCATCTTTACCTTTAAATTTAGATAAATCTGTCATCATAGTAAACAATGTAGTAGTAGTATTAGTATTAGCAGTGGTCAATTCAACATCGGGGTGCAAGTCTCGCATTAGCTGTTGCCCCGCCCGCCACTAGCGGATCCAGGATTTAATTTTGGAAGGGGCTTCAGCCCGAAAGATTTTTTTCATATACATATAACAATAATTAATTAGAAAAAAAAGAAATAAATTAACTACCTATATGAAATGGTGTTTAATTGGTTCTTGAATGAAGTTCTATTAAATGTAATTACACGAACAAGAATACATTAAGAGATAGTTTTTAATATTTTTTTCTGCAAAAAAAATATTCAATGTTTCAGCCCGAAAGCCCCCCCCCTCATAGATCCGCTTGTGCCGCCCGCTACAGCCCAACTTCTTTATCATTGCTGTGCCAGCCGTCTTTAAGGTAAGACGTTATCTACCTTAGTTTCAGCAATACGGTGGCGTGAATCGGCTGTGACGAAGTTCTGTGCCGGAATAGCGTTCCGTTTATCACGAGTCTCTCATTGTTTTAGGTTGAGTCTCAAGGGACACTAGTGCGATCAGAGACTCCCTAGGCAAGGACAGGAGCGGTGAATAATTGATTAGTAGTTATAATCTGATTAATCAGCATTGATCAGAAATTATTATTATATCATAAGTTAGTTTGCAAAATTGTTGGTTAGTTTGTAAATCATTTTCCTAAATTCGAGTGGTTAATGTGAGTGAGAATCAACTCAATATGGACCTAGAGGAAAACGTAGAAGATGCCTTAGTCTTAATAGTAGAGGAGACTGCGAAGACTCTGGGTGCGTTAGAGACCCCAGATACACCTGAGGCTCAAGGTTTACCGGAAGGTCACCGTACAACAGAAAAATTACAAAGACCACAAGTGAAGAGGCCTCGTGAAGGAGCTCCTGATCTTGAAGACTAAGAAACAGAAGAAAGCCTTGCCCAAGAGGCTAAGAAAATCGAGACTTCCCTAAAAGAATATCTTGCTTCAAAGAAAATTAACAGAGTTCAGCAGAAAGCAATATTGGGGAAAATTGAAGATATTGTAGACATCCTGGAAACCTTGTGTTATAAAGTTATAGAGTATAGGTCCAGGATCCAGGGAATTCCACAGATAGTGAGGCACATGGTAAAGGAGACGATGGCATCTACGGAAATATATGAAATTATCACCAGGAAAGTCACGGAGGTTGCCTTACCCAACATCAAAGAATGTCTGTGCGATGATAATAAGAAAACAAACCAACTTCTTCTCCCTCCAAGTGAGAGAACATGTGGAGTTAGACAAGAAGTGAGAAGTGAGATGAAGCCTCAGCCTGTGACCACCTCTCCAGAACAAGATTTTCAGAAAGTAATTAGTAAAAAAAGAAAAAAAAAAAAAAGAAAGAAAAAAATAGAAACTCAAGCAACGTCACAGACCGAAACTAACCAGATTCATTCAGCTGAAAGGGGGGGGGGGAGGGAGAACTATGGCTGACATTGTAAAATCCCTTCCCCAAAGTCTTCTGTAGATGCTCCTAAACATACCTTTATAACCATAGGTGGGGAAGGGAAGAGAGCTTTGGAAGTTGTAAAAAACCTATCTTCTCCGGAGGAGCTAAGCGTAAATGCTAATGTTGTGAGGGCCACTAAGGCTGAAGGCGTCCTCATCAGAGTTGAAAATAATGCCCAGGCCTCGAATCTGATTCAATAAACAGGCCTCAAGTATAAGGGTATCTAAGGCAGAATGGCCTTGAAAAGAAGGCATAGACTAAAAGTGAAAGGGGTTCCCCGTTCATGGAGAGGTGCTGACCTTGAATGATATATCTGGGGAATAATAGCTGAGAAGTTGGCTCCCCAACTGAACATCAAAGAGCGCATCCAAGCAAGTTTTTCACTGGAGACTAGAGGCGGCTCAACAAGGACCTGGGTTGTTGTAACTCCTAATTGTAAACCTATATCAATAAAATCTCGTAGACATACAGTTCCAGATACGAAATTTATTGAAAATCAGATAGGGAAATTGTAAAAATATGGCGTCATTGAAGAGAGTATTTATATAAGAGAGTATATAATCATCGGCGTAGGATGGTAGTAGATTATTCCCAAACAATAAATAGATTCACCAAGTTAGATGAATTTCAGCTACCAAGGATGACTTTGTGAATAGAATGGCTTCTTACAAAGTTTTCAGCTAGGTAGATCTCGGTTACCTTATGTCGTAAGAATCAACATGAACATTATCAAAATTTTGAATTTTTTTTAAAGGTTGTTAACAAGTACAATTTCACCTTAAATCTAGATAAAAATAACTTCTCTTTGTCCACGATTAGCCTTTTATGATCTGTCATTAGCCACCACTAGCGGATCCAGGATTTAATTTTGGGGAGGAGGCTTCAGCCCGAAATTTTTTTTTCATAAAAATAACGTTAATTACTTTGGAAAAACAGAAAGAAACTAACTACCTATATGAAATGGTGTTTAAGTTATTCCTTAAGTATTTTTAAATGTAATTACATGAACAATAATACTTTAAGAGGTATTTTTAAAAAAAATTTTCCCATAAAACATGTTTATATTTTTCCATTTTGGGGGGGCTTCAGCCCGAAAGCCCCCCCCCCCCGCAGATCCGCCCGTGTTAGCCACTAATCAACATATCATCTCCACACCTAACCCTTGTCATATTCGCACTGTATGCGTCATTTATTCAAAGTTTGCCGAAAAAATTCAAGTACCCGTTTAAAGTTCCTTATCTCTTAATTCGTGAGCTGTAAAAACATTCGAAAACATTAAACAGAAAACCCAAAATGCAGTGGTATTATCTATCGATAACAATGCTACACTAACTGTAGAAACTGATGCTTCTGACTTTGCTATCGGAGCCACATTATCCCAAGATAAGAAACTGGTTGCTTTTTTTCCAAGATCTCTAACTAAGGCTGAAAATCATTCATCTATTGAAAAGGAAGCGTATGCCATTGTAGAGACGTTGCGGAAGTGGAGACATTTCCTTCTTGGCAGAAACTTTCGTCTGATAACAGATCAAAGACCAGTCTCGTTTATGTTTTGCAGTGATAAACCAGGAAAAATCAAAAACGAAAAAATAATGAGATGGAAACTGGAACTCTCAAATTATAAATATGAAATTATATATAGGCCAGGGAGAGAGAATAAGGCTGTTGATAACCTTTCACGAAGTTGTCCTTCAATAGAGAGTTCTTTCCCAAGTTAAGAAGTCTACATGAAATGCTATATCATCCCGGAGAAACAAGGTTATACCACTGGGCACGAAGTAAAAATCTCCCTTACTCATTAGAAGAAATACGGACAATAATCTCATCATGTTGTATTTGCGCTGAAATAAAATCTAGATTTTGCAAGTTTGAAGGCACACTTATCAAAGCAAGACAACGTTTTGAAAAGATTGTAATGGATTAAAAAGGTCCTTTGCCTTTGTATTCAAAAAATCGGAATCTACTGATACTCATCGACGAGTAGTCGAGATTTTCTTTCGCGTATCTATGCCAAGACATGTCATACGGGACCGTGATCGCAAAACTTATACTTATTTCAATTTTCGGCACACCTGCGTACTTGCATACCGACAGAGGTTCATACTTTTTGTCTCAAGAACACAAATCTTATCTAACGACGGCTGTTGTTACTATTCGAACAATTGCTTAAAATTCCCAAGGGAATGGACAATGTGAACGTTACGAAACGGGATAGTTTGGAAGACTATTGAGCTGGCAGTAAGGAGTCAAAATATTGGTATTTCCAAATGGGAGAATGTTTACCATGAAGTATTACATTCAATCCGTTCACTCCTTTGCACATAAACCAATATAACACCCCATAAGCGCATGCTTAA